ACGTACTTGTAATTTCTTGAAGATTAATGGACATCCTTTATTTTATTCAATGTATTGTGCTAAATACAGATAAAACATATACATCATTAAGATGTGTTTTTTTTTTTTCCACTTGATGTCGTCCATCATCATTCCCTTTTATTTTATTTTATTATTTTTTTTATTCTTTACCTTAATCATTGCTTCCCAACATCATCATTGCTTCTCAACATTATCATTCTGTTTTATTTTATTTTATTATTATTTTTTCAACATCATCATTGCTACCTCTCCACCATCATTCTCTTTTATTTTATTTTATTATTTTTTTTTCTTTGCTTTCGATGGCGCTGATCCACCAAGATTCCACCATTTCTTCTTCTTTCCAGACTGGCGTGTCCCTTTTTTTTTTCTTTTAATAATAATTTATATATATATATATATATATATATATATATATATATTCCCCACATGGTGCAGGGAGGAAATGTAGAGGAGTTTGGAGTAGTAGGAGGTAAGATCTCTTTAGTGAAGCCTGTTCAAACTTCTTTGAGGCTACTTCGTTCTCTTCTAAGCTTGTTTGAACAAGGTACCTTATCCACCATGACAAGCTTCGCAATTTCGCTGGATGGCCAAATTTGGATGGCTTTGCAACTTTAGCTTTATGCTGACTTGGATAACCCGTAAATATAACAACACCATCAGCAGATACCCTCGCCAACTCTGGAAGAGTTCTGTTGAGGTACTTCGGAGACAAGTAATCTAATGCATCCGATGCAATTACAAGAGAAAACGATTTTGGTCGGTATGGCAAGGGAAACTTTATATCAGCAGCACGCACAATGCCTTTGTTCACAAGACTCTTGCAACTTGCATCAGCATCTTCTAAGTCATATGGCTCCACACCCCAGGCTTCAGTACCACCACTTGCTATTGGGAAATTCCTATATATGTCGACTCTCATCTTTTATGGCAAGGACAGACCTGCAAAAAAATGCCCAACTCTTCCTCACCTCTAAGGGCACACTCCTAGCAAAGCCTCTCGAAATACTCAATTTTCTTCTTCCCCAAAGAAGATACCAGATGTCTGGAGTACAGATGAGGCAGGAGGAAACTGGCATATTGAAGCATGTGGAGACAAGCACAACAAATATATGTGCTGATTCATTCGCTGCTTCTTCAAAAGCAAAAGTATTTCATATCATCAAAGAAAAGAAAAAAAAATGGTGGAATCTTGGTGAATCAGCGCGACCGAAAGCAAAGAAAAGAAAAAAAAAATAATAAAAAAAATAAAAGGAAATGATGGTGGAGAGGTAGCAATGATGATGTTAAAAAAAATAAAAGGGAATGATGATGTTGGGAAGCAATGATGATGTTGGGAACCAATGATGAAGGTAAAGAATAAAAAAAATAAATAAAATAAAAAGGAATGATGATGGACGGTATCAAGTGAAAAAAAAAAAAACACACATCTTGATGATGTATATGTTTTATCTGTATTTAGCACAATACACTGAATAAAATAAAGCATGTCCATTAATCTCTGAGAAATTACAAGTGCGTACAAAAAAAAAAAAAAAAAAAAGATGGAGCTTTCACAAAGGTTGTTCACGTGAAGCCCCACTACTTGGCAAAACTCCAGGAGCGGGAGGCATCGAAGATAGATTATTCGAGGCCTCAATACTTGGTGGAACGCTAGATGACGCAGGAAAAAGGTGCCTCTGAAAGAAAGCCGCAAGTCTGTGACGGTCACTTTGAATTCGACCTTTAGATTCTTGCAGCTCATCAAGCTTCCTCTTCATGCTCGTCAAATAATTATTTGCAAGCACGTGCAAACCTCTATTCTCGCGCTCAAGCTGTTGGATCTCTTGTTTAAGATTTTCTACCTCCGCCATCAATGATTCAACTGACGGGATTGAGTAAGTAGGCGTTGGCCCATGTTGGACACGGAGCTCGCACACTGAACACTGAGAGCTAGGGATTCTTGAACGGCCAACTCATCGGACCGTCCTGAAAGCAGCCTACTATCTCTAGGAGTGAGGAGGTTCCTAGCTACTATTGTAGCTGTTGTTGCATCCTTCATCACGGAGTCTTCACCTGTAAGAGGGCCACTAGAAGATAAGAAAGATGGGCACCATACATTACCTTGACGCGACGCGCCCGTATCACTGCTGAGACTCAAATCTAAGCAAATGTTAGATGGGTTAGCCATTTTCAAAGGTGTTAAAAGAGAATGGTTGGATGAAGTAAAATCTCAAAGGGTCGTTAAAACAAAATACATCGGAGATGATTTTCACGAATGAGCAATCTTCAAAGTGTGCATGTTGGAGGTAATCGATACCTCTATAAAAAGGAAAGGCGACACGACCACCGATTCAAAAAATTGAAGAGACACCACTCTTCAAATCTTAAAAGCCGGATTTTCCTGCGTAAAGTTCGGCAACGCTCTTCAGACACAATCTCGGCTTTTTAGATAACACGTGCAACTTTGTCAAAGATCTCTGACAAAGTTGAAAACGCGTGGAGGTTATTATCCCAACTACCACACAATTTTTGCCTCTATAAAAAAAGGAGGAACAGGGTTGTTCATTCAGAAATCGAAGAGGCGCTTGCTCAGAAATCAAAGAGGCGTTTGTTCAGAAATTGAAGAGACGCTTGCTCAGAAATCGAAGAAGCGTTTGTTCAGAAATCGAAGAGACGCTTGCTCAAAAATCGAAGAAGCGTTTGTTCAGAAATCAAAGAGGTAACATCCTCCGAACCTCAAAAGCTGGGCCGCTTATTTAATGATCGAAGAGTCATCACTCTTTGAATTTCAAAAAAAAAAAAATCGGATTTGCTGGATCAAAACTTGTCAGTATCTTTCACATGTAACCTCAACTTTGCAGACATTACAAGCAACTTTGCCAAAGATTTCTGACAAAGTTGAGAACGCGTGAATCTTACTGTTTCAATTACCCAACAGTTGTCGACAATGGTAAAGGAACAGTACCACCACTTGCTATTGGGAAATCCTTATATATGTCGACCTTCATTTTTTATGGCAAGGCAGACCTGCAAAAAAATGCCCAACTTTTCCTCACCTCTGAGGGCGCCCTCCCAGCAAAGCCTCTCGAAATACTCAATTTTCTTCTTCCCCAAAGAAGATACCAGATGTCTGGAGTACAGATGAGGTAGGAGGAAACGGTAGATCGAAGCATGTGGAGACAAGCACAACAAATATATGTGCTGATTCATTCGCTGCTTCTTCAAAAGCAAAAGTATCTCATATCATCAAGGGCAAAAGCAAAGGTATCTCATATCATGCTTTTTCCCTGTCTTTTCCTTTGCTCTTGTTCTCACCTGCCAAGACAAGAACAGAGAAAGCAATATGTCGGAACCTCCACTCAAACTTGCGCTGCCACCAAGAAGTGATGGTCCATTCAAATGCAAGGTTTGCATTCCACTCTTGTATCAGAGGACAAATACTACAAGAGCAGATGCCAAACCTGCATAAGGAAATACCACTTCTGCAAAGGGAGCAAGTAAGGCAAGTGAAAATGATACATCGAAGCATGTGAAGACAAGCACAACAAATATATGTGCTGATTCATTCGCTGCTTCTTCAAAAGCAAATGTATCTCATATCATGCTTTCTCCATGTCCTTTCCTTTGTCCTTGTTCTTACTCGTATAACAAAGTGAAAGAGAGCAATCAGCCGGCACTTGGAGTCAGTCTTTCGATCTGGAACCGACTACCTGGAATCTATTCCCTGGTTGCTTACCTACCATTGCTCTCGAGTAGTCATCTTCAACGGTTGATACACTTCTAGAGAAGGGACCACATTTGCTTGGAGAACAGCTAAGACGAGTGACAATGAAACATCAATCTTGTGGATCGTCAGCAAACGCAACAACTGCATATGCTGAGTCATCCTCTAACCCTCATCAAATATGAATTGTAAAGATTGAACAAAGAAACAAGTTATCACCTCCACCTCAGTGCTTGTCTGCCATGTGTTTGAATCCTGAAACCACTCATGGTCTTATTTCAATTCAAGATCAATCCTCGATGGCCCTTGAAGAAATCACAAGTTCGATTCAAAATCAAGTGTTCACCACCCTTGAATCAAATTCAACTCTAGATAAAAGGAGTAAGTTCAGACATTCGAAGGAGACCAAAAGAATTCTCCAGCCTAGTTCAAGATTAAGCCTGTGGAAAATCAACGATTGGAGGAAACCAGAAAATCTTCCAGTCGAACTCAAGATCAAGCCTCGATGATCCTTGAAGAAATTTCCAGCCCAATTCAAGATCAAGCTTTGACGGCCCTTGGGTTGACATCTACATTAAGAGACTTCAAAACGCATCTTCTACACGTGACAAGCACATGTCTACAACGCGCCTTGAAGTGGGGCATTTGTAGACATCAAAATTTCGGTGAAATGAATGTTGACCAATAATTAAAATTTCAACTCTCACGTGTCACATAAATTTTACATGTAGCGTGTGACTCAACGAAAAATCGAAATAAATTGGAAAAGTCATCAAATAGGACACGTGTCAATACCTGACAGAAATGATTTATTTCATCTGATTATTTAAATCCAAAAATCAAGTTTTGGAATTCTATAAATAGGAAGCCAAGACATTCATTTTGAAAAAGAAGAAAGGAAGAGAAATTTACATTACACCAAAACCTTGAAGCCTTGAAACTCTAAAGCTCTCAAGCAAATCCTGAAGGATCAAGAAAACACTTTTTGTTCTTCGTCAAATCCTCCTTCAAGATCAAGCCCCAATGGCTCTTGAAGAACTCCAACTAACTCAAGATCAAGCCCCGACGGCCCCTTGAAGAAAGTGTTCATCATTTATCATCCGTTCATCCTAAGATCAAGCCCCAACGGCCCTTTGGATCAACAACCTTAACAAACTCATACACCCATTCTTCAAGATCAAGCCCAACGCCTCTTAAAGATCCATTCATCAACTGTTCATCCTTAGATCAAGCCCCGACGGCCATTTAGATCAACAACTCATCCACAAACCTACACCCTACGAAGATAGAATCAGAGGATCAAATTACAAAGAGATTGTAACCCCAAAATCATTAATACAAAAATATATTTTGTACATGTATTCTTGTTTCTTATTTCAGGAATTTTTCGTGTTTACAAGGGCGTTCGTAGATTTGTCATGGAAAGTGCTGCAGAGGGATGCGAGGTGTGAACGAAAGCTGTTTCTTTCCACTTGACCTTATTAGGATGCACCAACATAGTAGAAGGAATTTTTCTTCCATACAACATGTGGGTCATGGTTAGTGGCAAACTCAGGGCTCAGCGTGCCAAGTTTATGAAGTTCAAGGATGAATACATGATATCCTCTGGCCAGCCTGTTAAGGAATATATCGATGCTGCTGTGCCGCATGTGCTTCTTAGACAGGTTAGCTCCTCCATCATTCTGGCTTTTATGTGCTTTCGTTATCTTTACTTATTTTTCGTATATCCATTTTTCAAGGTGTTCTTGGGATTAAGGTCAAAATCACGCTCGATTGGAATCCCAAGGGTAAGCAAGGCCCCAAAACACCCCTACCTGATCTGGTCACCATCCACCAAGCCCAAAGAGGACTACATCAGATCAGGCCCCCAGTTGTGGCAACTGAAAGTCTGAAATACCAGCTGGCCTTGTCGCTGCTTAGAGTTGTTTTTACGCATGCTCAGTTCTTTTTTTTTGTTTTTTGTTTTTGTCAATATACTAATTTCTCATATTCCGCATAATCTCATTTCTAGTTGGATGCCTGTTAGCACCCGACTGGAATATGAGAAATCAAATGAGATTATGTGTTTAGAATTGTAATTTTCTTAGCCAGCAAATAGAAAAAGCAACTCAAGCTCTATATGTTACCCGCGTTTATGTCCTCCCGATTTGTGCTGTTGGAATCTTAACTTCGTATGGGAAATAGTATTGGGCTGCGTCTCTTTGTGTTCTTTAACGCTTATTTCTCTCTCTCTTGTCCCTTTTTTGGATTGACTTTGATGCATATTTACTCTTATGGTTACAATTCAAAGAGAATTCTTTTTCTTTTTGATTAATAGGGGTTGGGAGTCGTGAACTTAAGATCCTCCTTTTAAGAGGAAGATTCGGGTGGGTTAAGTTTCACAATAGGCTAACAATAATATGGTTCAAATTTGTTTTTTGACGAGAATCATATCTAAGATATTTCATTTACAAGTAAAGAGGAATACCAGTAGATTAGTACTAAGTGTCCTCTTACTATAGTTTTGAATAGGAATATTGCTTGGGCTTAATTGGGTTAATAGTTCATGTAGTGGTAGGGTAGTTGGAAAATAGTTTATGTGGTAAAAAAAATTAGAATTTAAGCTCATGTGGTGAAAGATGTTAGGATTTAGGCCCAGAATTGAAAATTTCGTCAACTCTCCATTAATTGTTAACACATGGGGCTCACATGTGTAACTAAAAAGATAACGTTAGCCTCACATTTTAAGTCTCACGTGCTAACAATTAACGGAAAGTTTCGGTTTAGCCTAATATGTGTGGCTCATATGATAATAATTAACTAAGAGTTGACGGTTTTGGGCAATTCCTAACATACTTCATTAGATGGGCTTAAAATCCTAATTTTTTACCACATGACCTATCTTTCAACTACCCTATCATCATGATACTAAGGTCATCTCCAACCGAACCGGCCAAATGGTCATAGGGCTAAAAATAGCTTGAAATAACACGAAAACGGTCTCCAATCGAAGACTAGGCCAAAGGGCTTGTGGGCCCTACTAGGCCAAAATCTGAAATTAGGTCAACTGGCTGGCCTATTCCAGCCATCCAACCAGCCCCGGTCGACCCAAATATTTGAAAACAGCTACCTAGCGTTAGCATGATGCCAAGGTTACCGTTGCATTTGATTTTTATTTTTATTTTTGGGACCAATTTTTTTTCAAACAAAAAAATTCAAATTTGTTTTCCTATAAATACCTAAGCCATTCCTACACCATTCTATCAACAAAAATCTTAGATTGAAGTTGTAGTTTTTAATATTTACGTTGTACTCTTTAAATTAAACAACACAATCTCCACCCTAGTACTACTTGGGGGAGTTAGTCAAACTTGAACGACATGAAACTTAAATGACATTAAACAAAATAAAACTTATTAAAATTATATAAAGATAAGAAATCCAGAGGTTTATTTATTTGCGACAAGTGACATTCAAAATATGTCCGAAAACCTTATTTTAACATGGTAGTTTAATTTAAGTAACCATATTAATTCAATTAAATAATAAATTATGTTTGGCATATGACTCTTTGGCCCTCTCGATTGGAGATGGTTTTTTTGTCAAAGGGCTATGTTTGGCCTATGGCCCTTTGACCTCCTCGATTGGAGATGGTATAAAATATGGTTGACATTGTTCATTAAAATATTAATTTCTTGCAAGGCTCTACAGCTAAAGGGAGCCATTTGGCCATCCTTCGGTTGGAGATGGTGAAAATTATGTGAAAAATGGTGTAGTAATAACTTAGGTATTTATAGTGGAAAACATAAGAATTTTTTTTTTTTTTTAAACTCGTCCCCCAAAAAAAAAAAAAAAATTAAATGCAACATTAACCTGGCGTCATGCTGATGCTAGGTAGCTGTTGCAATTCATATTTTTGGGTCGCCCTGGGCTGGCTAGCTGGAATGAGCCAGTCGGTTGGCCTGATTTCATATTTTTGGCCCAATGGAGCCCATAAGCCCTTTGGCCTAACCCACGGTTAGAGACTGTTTTCGCGTCATTTTGAACTATTTTTAGCCTATAACCCTTTGACTGGGTCGGTTGGAGATGGCCTTACCAATTGAGTCATACTCATATTCTAACCAAGTAACAATTAGTCTAAACCATTCAATATTGCATTTACACTTGTGTTCTTATCAATAGTAGGTATTAACCAACTAATTTTGTTGTCGTTTAATTTTTGTTGTCGTGTTGTGATAGTTTTGTCAGAATCACCACTGATGACCATGTAATTTGAACCCAATAACCAAAAAAAAAAAAAAAAAAAAAAGCCTCAAATGGTCCACATGTGTTATAGTCATTTGGCTAATTTAGTCTTGTATTTTCAATTGGACAAATTTAATCTTCGTGTTTATTTCCGTTAGCCAATTAAAGACATTCCATTCAATCTCTATTAAAAATTCATCAAAATAATATAACCGATTATAGAAAAATATGTTTTAATTAAAATAGAAAGAAATATAATTTCAAAGTGATTTTTTTTTTAAGCAAACCCACCAAGCCATCAGTATTGTCCTTGGCCCAAACCCAAACCCTAGTCACACACGCAACTCAATGAATGCATCTTTAGGTCCACCTCGACCTCACTTGTTATTGTACGAGTTCCATCATCGTAGTCCCAAGAAAAATAATACCGACCACCTCATTTTCAACTATGTACCAGCCACCTCATTTTGGACTATGTAATCAATCGAGAAACTAATCGCAATTGAAAGAATCATATATTACACTCTCTTTATTTAAATTTAAATTTACATAAATATGCAAATTAATGAGAAATAACACGTATAAAAGATAAAACTTTCAATCTGAAAATTATTTAAGGTTGTGATAGAGGGAAGGGGGGATGCAAAATGGGAGAGGAAGCAAAATGGGAGAGTTGAGAAAGTTAGGGAGAATGTTCGAGAGTTGGGGTAGAGTAATTTTTCATCTAATTTTTACTTTTATCATTTACAAATTTGTAAATCAAATAGATTTTGTTATAAATAAATTGGAAGAAATTGTTATTAGCATTCCAAAAATTTCATTTTACACTCCAAATTTTCTATATTTGGAAAGAAAAATACACTTGTGAGAAGTGTAGAATAGAATTTTTAGAGTGATAATAACACTTCCCTATATGATCATTAATTGACTAGCGACGCAATCAGAAGAACATCGAGATCATTTTAACATTTAAGCCAAAAAAAAAAAAATTATACTCAAAAAGAAAAATAAATAAAAAAAAAACAAAAAATTTAAAGAGACCCGGACGCCAAGTCCAATTGTGAACTGCATTGGAAGTAGTGTTTGGAGTCCGCTACCGTACGACATTATGCTCACAGCGTACTAAAAAAGCGAGCCAAAAAAGCAGAAGCGCACACAGACGGGCGCAGTGCAGCAGAAGAACAATCCGATTGTTTTCCCTTTCCTCAAAGCTTCCCGCACAAGCTTTCTCGCAGAAAACGACTCGTCTTCTTCCCAACTCAGTGCCCGGCGCGCTTCGAATCGGTCGCTATCCTTGCAATTTTACACTCGCAAGGACTGAGTCAACTCGCTCCTCATTCTCACAGTCCTATGGTGAGCCCCGTCCTACTTAATTTCGCTTCCTCTGCTATTCAAGTTTGCTCCGAATGTGAAAATTTTGAACACTTTCTAGTGTTTTGGTACTTCTGCATGTAAATTTTCAGCTTTTAGTGTGATATCATTTGAATTACTTAGCAATTTTGCCCGAAATGGTGCTTTTCTCTCACTAGAAATGTAGTTTTATGTAATTGGGATTGGAAATTTGCAGTCTTTGGAGGAAATGCAGTTTGATGTAGTGTTAATTTCGTTTGTGCTGTTTTCTTTTCGGTTTTCGAAAATTTTGAATTTTGAATTGCAGGTTTGAGTATTTGAATCGGAGAATTTTGTTTATTTGTTTTGAATTCTGGATGCATTTATATTTTAGTGGATAAGATCTTATTTTTATTACCTTTGAAAATTTTAGAAGTTAACTTTGTTCATTTACTTTGTTTTTTGTTTTTGTTTATTTGGTTTTGAGGTATCAGTTTGTGTATTTGAGTTGCATGTGGTGGATTTTCCATGGAAACAGTGGTCGGTGTTGAGGGGAATGATGAAGGGATGTGTGAGGAGAGTGGGGTTGAGAAAAGTAGCTCTTCTTTGTCTTCGCCAAAGCAGATTGCCGATCCTGTTGTATACAAGCTCGTTCGGGTATGTTTCATTTGCATTAAAAGTTCAACTATTCTGTTGGTGCTAGTAGTTTTGTGCACATAAAATTGGAGTGTAAGCCGCTTCTTTCTGTTCTCTTTTCCGGGTATAAGTGTTTGAACATTCCTTATGATTGGTTTAACTTTCAAATTTGTACAGAAACATGATAACTTGATAGGCTTGGGTAATGGGCGTTCATGATACTGCTTTAGAGCCTATAAAGGACTGTATATCGATCAAGAGATTTTTAACAGTTATTTTATTCATAAATTACAATTAGAAGCAGTCAAGCCATCAATTAATGAGTACAATTAGAAGCAGCCAGGCTGCTGCCTGCCTTCTGGGCGAATCAGATTTTAGAAAATAATAGTAGATACGAATTGAAGCTTGAGCATTACAATTTGATATGTTCTTTCTCTAAAGCTTTGATTTTGGGGATTTAGTTTGTCACCAATTCTAAATTCAAGGTTTATACTTGGATTAAATGAGAGGCCAGCTTTTGGTTTGGCGACAGGTTTTCCATAATGCTTTAAGGGGGAAACTTAAAATTGCACTGCAGTTACAACTATGGACTTGTTACTTCATGTTCGAAAATTTCATTGCCATTTATTTTGTTTTCTTTAGATTCATAACGTCTTATTTGATTCCAGGTTGAAGGTGATGGGAGATTAGTGCCAGCAACAGATGATGATGTAATGGAAGTTGAGGATTTTCTTGTTGATGAGACGGTTGAATTACCTGTTATTACAGAGGCTGGAAATGGTCGGTGCATTTCCAATGAAGAGTCTTCCTCTGGGAAACCTCAGAAAGAAAGCTCAGAAGGTCTATTTGATTTATTGTTGTGACTAATTATTTCATTTCCATCTGTATCATTATGGATCATTTTACGTTGTAACTTTAAGGGCATGCAATTTGGAACCTTAAGCTATAGCTTCTGTATATAATGACTATTGGAATCTGATTTGTATCCATTCATATTTTTGTATTGAATCATTCAAGTTACATGCGCATCTCAAATCTCAATTCTCAAAATTAGTTTGACAAATCTTATTCCAACTTACTTTTTCTCCTCAATGGCTTTGGAGTTCATTTATATTCAACACCAAAGTGACTACTTTTTGGTTACTTTCAGTTATATTCAAGATATGTTTTGCATACCTATTGTTTCCCTGACTTAGTGAAGTGTTGTTTCAATGAAAAATGACTTTGTGAGAAACTAGGTGTAGAACTTGGTTTATTAAATTATTTGAAGACATTCTATTTTTATATCTTATGGTGTTGGTTCTGTAATGGTTTTCATCGCTCACAGAGCAATACATTTCCAGGTGTCTCACATTCAGAGAACACAGAGCTGATGTGAAATTAAGTGCACGGCTTGAGGTATTGACTTGCTTTCTCTGGATAAAATTTCCTCCTGTTGTAGAATCAGATGGACGAATACTATCTTGCATAAACTTATGGCCTGCTATGACTGTTCTGAATAGCATATTTCTTTTGGATAACTTTATCTTTATGTCTCTTTAATAAATTGATTCAAGTGCTTGGATATGTTTACAGATACCCCTTGTACATCAGTTATATTTCCTAGCTGCTATGCATTTCAATCTTGTAGAAAGGAATTTCTTGATCTTGAAATTTATTGTCTGTATTATGTGTTAGTGGCATATTTCTTTATCAACTGGCTTGATTGGTCATTTCATAAACTTATAGATAGTTTCTTTCAGTTCTTCTTTTCCTTGCATCTCTACAAGTATGTGTACAATTTTAGCATATCTAGTTATTAATCGTCTTGGATCCTTTGCGGCCTCTAAAATCTCTTTGTAGTACATCGAGGAGATGTTGCAAAAGGTCAAACAGAAAGAGAGGCTCCGCTTAGCATGTGGATCTCCTGATCATTCTTCTGCTTTTATGAATGTAGACATCCAGTGTTCTGATCAGCATGATAAATTACCTGCTACTGATGACAGGCTGCAATCTGAAATTCCTTTGCAGGATATTGTTCCTTCTTCATCACTAAGTCCAGATGGAAGCCATATTAATGAATCTGGGAGAATTGGGGAGTGCTCAAAACAACCGCTGGATGGACCAATAGAAAGTGGGTCATCAGCATCTGTCATCTGCACTGGTCCAAAGCCTGATGTTAATACACTAAAGGGGGAGATATGCTTGGACAACCTATCAATTAGAGAACTTCATGAATTATTTCGGGCAACTTTTGGGAGAGAAACTACAGTTAAGGACAAGTTGTGGCTTAAGAGGAGGATCACAATGGCGTTGACTAACTCTTGTGATGTTTCAACAACAACTTTCACTATCGTAGATAACAAATTGGTGAACAAGGGTAAAGATGATAGCATTCAGAATGCAGATGGTATGCACAAATTGGTGAACAAGGGTAAAGATGATAGCATTCAGAATGCTGATGGTATGCTCACTGAGGGGTCAGATGGTGAAGCAAAGAATCTTGGGTATGAAACTTCACCAACTAGCCACAGTAGCAAAATGGAAAATCATGTCACTGTTTCAGGCAAGAGATTCGTAAACATTAGTGCAGAACTGGATTGTGGAAGTGAGGACCTTCACACAGATCAGAGAGCTGCCAAACGAATTCGAAAGCCCACTAAGAGATATATTGAAGAGCTTTCTGAAGTTGAATCAAAAGATTGTAGCCCAAAAGTGACTAGTCCAGTTAAAAGTGCGGGACAACGACAAACATCTCCAAAATCTTGTAGGCCTCTTGGAAATGTCCCTTTAAATGAGAGAGCTATTGCCATCAGGTTGGACCCTCTTGGAAGTGTGACAAATGTCCCTCCAAATGAGAGAACGTTTGTCACCAGGTTGGATTCTCTTGGCGGATCTGGGGTTCAGGTTCCTTATGTTTCTCGAGTTCGTAGAAGCCGTCCAAGGAAAAATATTATGGCCCTTATGGTAGGTAAAACCCTTTTATAATATGCAATACGAGTTGCTTTATCATTTCTTTTGTTTTTCTTCTTAAGCATGGGAATTACTATTATGATATAGCACTATAAGTCATCTGTACAACACAATACCTGAATGCGTTCGATTTTTTATTTGTAGAAGTTTGATATGAGTGGAATGGGTGTGACAGCTAAACTTGTAAAAGAGGCCTTTAGCGTGCGTAGTTCTGTATCAGAGAGTGAGCATGTAGACAAAGTCTTGAAAGTCAGATCTGCTTCTGAACGGATGAAACCACGGGTAAGATCAAGTTTGCTTAACTGGATTCCTTATTCTTACTTCACATTGAGTAATGGGCATGTGTTTTTGAATTTGATAATGTGTCGATAACATTACTGTAGCCGGTTATTAGTTTTGGACTGGTATTTTGTATTATTGAGGACTAACGGGGGTAATGACATTTTTTTTTTAATATCATGGTTTGTCTTTTGTTTGAGTGCTATACTGAATTACCCTTCAATTGGTTTGCATGCTAATTTTTTTGTTATGTTAATTGGTTGTCTATGTAGTGTACTGCTGAACCAGAGAAAGACAAGCGTCGCTCAGTAATGGGCACAATCGAACCGCGAAAGAACTTGGGCATTAAACAGACAGATTCATCCGAGGACAATTCAGATGATGGTACAGCCCAGATTCCCACAGCGAAAGGTGGAATGAGGAGGAAACACCATCGAGCTTGGACTCTTGTTGAGGTTATAAAATTAGTTGAGGGTGTCTCTAAGTGTGGCACTGGGAGGTGGTCTGAGATCAAAAGGCTTTCCTTTGCATCGTATTCATATCGCACTTCTGTTGATCTCAAGGTCTGTTTTTTCTGTACAATTTGTATTCAAGATACCAAGTTCATTTGGCATCTTGTTATACTAAAAAAATGGTGAATACTTTTCACTGAGAAAACGTGTGTCATTTTGCAGGACAAGTGGAGAAACCTGCTGAAAGCTAGCGTTGCGCAAACACCTCCTGATGATGGAGTGAGTACATTCCCCTACCTCTCTTTTATGAGTTGGTTAGACGGGAAGTGTGGAACTTCCCATCTCTTTCAAATGCAAGCTTTCTTTGAACTCTTTCCTCAGCCTTTAAATACTAACATTGCATCCAAATATTATCTTCCAGAGATTCCAATATTCTGTAAATAAAATTTTCGAACTTTGATCACTTCTCCATAGCATTTTACAACTTGAACTGGCATATTTGAATTTTTATTATCTACTGCAAAATCTGCTGCCCTATGGTGGTTTACTTCATCGTAACTTGCAAGCTGATGTTTGGCGTCTGTACTAGGAAGCAAATATGCCTATGTATATAGTACACTATACGCCATTGATTTTCTCTCCGGATGTTCATTTGAGTACGGACATAACTTGGTTTGTCCGTGGGGAATTGTGCAGATAAACTCCCGGAAACATGCTTCAGTACCTATCCCGGCATCAATTTTGTTAAAAGTAAGACAGCTTGCTGAGATGCAGGTGCAGGTACCGCCAAATCTAGGGCCGAGCAAGCTGGCCACTGTTAGCAGTCGAAGCGTGCATCAAATGCGACCAGGCTTCTTGTAACATTGTATATAAGGATACTGCTGGACTGTAACCACTTTCCTCTGCTGGCATGCACTTGTTACATGGCTGATGTGCTGCAGAGGGATTGCTGAGATGTAGGCTTAAACATGTTTATGATACATTCTCTGACTCCTAAGTTCCTAACACAATTTCTTACTCAGTTATTAATTTATTATGATAGGGTTTATGCCTGATGTTAAAAATTGATCAAATTTTGCACGGCAAGTCGACCGGCGTACACTTACCGGTTGATCAGCCGAATGTCAAACATGTCATGTTTAAAGTGACTAATTACCCTTTATTTCTTTGTTATGGACGATAATTATCTTGGTTGATAAACAGGTCGTGAATAAATAATAAAACTATATAGGCAAATAACCAAAGGCTAACACTACCTTTTGAACCGAAAAAGGGCTAAAGCTATCTGATTTGGGAGTTGGGTGAAGAAAATATTGAATTAGGACCTAAACAATGAACTATTCCACTCATGGAATTAAATTTGTGGAGTGAGCCAAAGAGACTAGCCATATTAAGTTACTAGAATTCGGATCCTCTCAGGATCCTCTTTGTGAGGATTCTAGGATCTATGAATCGTGTTCATTCATCGTACATCGTGTGATCATAAATTATTTTAAATATTTTTATTTAAAATTAAACATAAACAGTATCTGACAAAAATTGATTGTACGATATACTGATGAACGAACACGATTCATGGATCCTCCGGATCCTCGCCAAAAGGATCCAGAGAGGATTTTGTTTGAAGTTAGTAACTACTAATTATTAGAGCTTGAGCGCTGTTGATATGTTGTGGGTCTCGCATACTTGCTATAGGTATGTATGGTCACTGTTTGATATTTAGTTGCAGAAATGAACAGGTTTCATTATATCATCTTTGTGTGGTCTTTATGTCATTATTGCGTCGTCGATATATAATTAATATGTCATCTTTATTATGATCATTTCTGTGACTAAATGTCAAAAAGTGATCATTTCTGCTAATTGTTCAAAATTTTGATGAAACTGGACGATATGGATGAAAGTGTAAGATCACGTTGAGGATTTGAAACATAAGGAACGAAATTTATGAGTAATCCAAATGGCACAAAACTTTTGTTGTAAAAACACATTAGGATTATATGATAGATACGAAGTTGGATGAGGAGGAAAAACAAAAAAGGACCGGAAGTTTGTTGAGATGGTACCCAAGAAAGAGGCCCAAGACGCACATTGCCCAACCCACGATCCTTACATTTAAAAGCCCATACTCTCTCTCTTCCTCAGCCCTAACTCTCTCACTCCTCTCTCTCTCTCTCTCTCTCTCTCTCTCTCTGGTCCTTTCAGCTCCGGAGACATCGTCGTCGCCAACTGAGTCACGGTGAGTCCTCCACTGCAGCTCTTCCACTCCCTCCAATTCGTAAACTACCTTTTCTTCCTTCAAGAATTCAACCTCCCTGACAGCAATTCAACATGTTCTCTCTCACTGTAATCCACTCTGTTTGGTGTCCGAGACATCGCTGTTGAATCGACGATTTCTCGGCAACCAAACAGACCTTTCGATTTCTTTTCAATTACCCAATTAGTAGTTTTGTATATCTCAACTGTTCCTGCTGTTGTTTTTGTAGTTGTAGGAGCTGAAACAATCCAGTAGCAATGGGGATCATCGAAAGGATCAAGGAAATTGAGGCCGAAATGGCTCGGACTCAGAAAAATAAAGCCACAGGCATTTCCCTTTTTACTTAATTTCCCTATATTTATTGGGTATTTAAATATAATATGGTCTTTTATGAATTGGGTTATATCTTAATTTTTTGTTTATTTAATTGGAATGCTGAAAAAATGCAGAGTATCATCTTGGCCAGCTCAAGGCAAAGATTGCCAAGCTCAGGACTCAGCTTTTGGAGCCTCCAAAAGTATGCAACTTTTCCACACACACACACACACACACACGAGTTTAATATGATATGAATGTAGAATTTTTCTGTATTAACGTTAGGAACTTTGATGGCCATGAGCTTCTTGGTAATGCTTTGTACAATACTTTTGTTCATGTGGTTGCGGTTTAGAGTTTCCATTTTTAATGATTCAAAACTGAAATTCAGGGGTCTAGCGGAGGTGGAGATGGTTTCGAAGTTACAAAGTTTGGTCACGGACGTGTTGCGCTTATTGGGTTTCCAAGGTTTGCGATATTTATATAACCTTAACATGCATTGTGTATCGTTTAAAGAAAACAAAATGAAATGTTTTGGCTTTAAAAGTAACAAGACATGGCCAGTCCTCATGAGTTTTGCCTATTGTTTGTAGTGTGGGGAAGTCGACACTTTTGACTATGTTGACGGGCACACACTCTGAAGCTGCATCTTATGAGTTCACAACTCTTACCTGCATTCCTGGGATTATACATTACAATGATACAAAAATTCAGCTGCTCGATCTTCCTGGAATTATTGAAGGTGCTTCAGAAGGCAAAGGTCGTGGGAGGCAGGTGAATATTCTCTTTAAGATTCTTCTCCTCTTGTGATAACATGTCATTATTCGTTTATCGTACAATAATATAATGAGAATTTTAGAACAAGATTTTTAAATAAACGCCTCATGATAGAAAGGTGATGACTTGTATTTGGCCCTTGGCAATTCAATATCTTCTCTTCTGCTCCGATTTCCAAGTATCGTGGAAATGGATAGAATTTGATAAGACTCTCTCTTGCAGGTTATTGCTGTTGCCAAGTCTTCAGATATTGTGTTGATGGTCCTTGATGCCTCAAAAGTAAGTATTTATTCTGTAGTAACATGCTGTTGTTACTATTGGTATATCAATAGCTGATAAATAAGTTTACTACTCGTCTGCTTACTGACCTTTCATTGTTTTCATTCTTAGCAACCTGCTCGACCTCTTGACCCTGTCCTGTTGATGCCTTATGTTGATTACCTGTTTTTGCTTGGTTTCTGTCAGTTATTTAGTCTAACACTTGCGTTTTGATGTTTCAGAGTGAAGGCCATCGGCAAATATTGACAAAGGAGCTGGAAGCTGTGGGCTTACGTTTAAACAAGAAGCCACCTCAAGTAAGTTTTATCTTCTTAATATTTATTAGCATTTTTGAAAACAGACTGAACTTGGTCTTAGTTTCTGTCGGGTTTTTAGCTGTTTCCATATATTGTTTGTTATGTTTGCTTTGTTAACTGTGGACTTAAGCTGGATTTTGCATTTTGTTCCATGGGCGCAGATATACTTCAAAAAGAAAAAGACTGGAGGAATTTCTTTCAACAGCACTTGCACTTTGACTCATGTGGATGAGAAGCTTTGTTATCAAATTCTACACGAATACAAAATTCACAATGCTGAGGTACTTAGGATTAGTCAAGATTGTCCTTTATCAAAGCTAATGGTGATTCTTTTATTGGGCATACACAGCTAATGGTACATGATTTTCTTTAAGTCACTGTACAATCTTTCATTTGGGTGATACTTTCTTTTCTGTGCTCATCCCATGGAAAAGAATACTCATGTATAATAAATTTAATGCAGTTGCTGTTTCGCGAGGATGCGACAGTGGATGATCTTATTGATGTGATTGAGGGAAACCGGAAATACATGAAGTGTGTATATGTGTACAACAAGATAGACGTTATTGGTATTGATGATGTGGACAAATTAGCCCGTCAGCCGAATTCTGTCGTCATTAGTTGCAATCTCAAGGCAAGTTCTACACTTCTTGTTTTTATTCAAATGAGATACGGAGTACATCTGTGTTACCAGAAAGAAACCTTGAGCAATCTCTGCAGTTGCAAAATTGAAAAACTTTTGGTCAGAGCGCAGAAGACATTGCCTACTGTGGTTCTTTCCATTAGAATTGTGTTTTTGCTGGACCCTAATTTTCAACACGTGTAAAAATTACTTACAATTTATTTAGAGGCCATTTGATAACCATTCCGTTTTCAGTTCAGAAAACCGAAATCTTGTTTGGTAAGTTTTCAGATAAAAAAATAAAAAATAAAAAATAAAGCTGAAATCCAAAAACTAAAAATGAAATGGTTTTCAAACGGCCCCTTAATAAATAGAAATGAATAGTATCGCATATGAAACGGTTCAGAAAGACTAACTGTGTTTTTATCTTGCTCAACAGCTGAACTTTGACAGACTACTTGCAAAAATGTGGGAAGAGATGGGACTTGTTAGAGTTTATACAAAGCCGCAGGGCCAGCAACCTGATTTCGGTGATCCAGTAGTTCTTTCTTCTGTAAGTTGCAAATATTTTTTATCTATGTATCTTTATAGGATCAATTAGCTCTCCATCATATGAGCTTTCTGGCTTTATTTGTTTTCTCTTATTCCTCTTTGCATGTATGTGTAGGATAGAGGGGGCTGCACTGTTGGAGACTTTTGTAATCACATACACAGGAGTTTGGTGAAGGAAGTCAAATACGTGTTAGTGTGGGGTACAAGTGCAAGGCACTACCCACAGCATTGTGGCCTCGGTAATGTTTTGAATGATGAAGATGTGGTCCAAATTGTGAAGAAAAAGGTAAACCGGTCTTTCTGTTGTTCATTGCAAGTAAAATTTTCTTATAGATACATACAATATCGCATTGATTTCTCTGCGTAATTTTTGGGTCCCATGATTATTCTGATTCCAGATGCTTGTTGGGTCTTACTATTTTCTGTTCTCTTTGCAACCGGATGCGGAAAGAAATATTCTTTCGAAAACAATCTAATATTTGGCATTTGGATTCTCCAGGACAAGGAAGGGGAAGGGAGGGGTCGGTTCAAGTCACATTCAACAGACCCTGCTCGTATATCTGACAGAGTGAAGAAGGCTCCCCTGAAGCAGTAGTATCATTGATAGGCATACCATGCAGACCCGAGTTTCTTACATGAACCGCCACAGAAGAATGATCCGCGGATGACATGTATTTGAGATGCCTATGGAGCACGACATAAGCAAATCATTTGCTTAATTCTGAAGTGAAGAATTGGTGCTAGAATGTCGTGCTTACGGGAATAGGTAGATTTTTTGGTCCTTGTGTTGTAAGTTTTGATCAATTACTTCATGGAATGTTGAACATGTACTGCACCATGATCTCTGTTTTGGAGATGGTGTTTAATACACTTCGAAAACGCTCTTTGGCTTTATCTTGCTCGCGTGCCGAGCATAGATTCCGAGCCTATCTACCTAAATCGGATGCACACACATTTGTAGAAAGAGAACAATATTTTTTTCGATGAGAAAGTTTACAATCTATTATTCACGTAATGAGAGAGATAGGGTATAACCCGGTTAGATGGTAGAACCTCTCCAGCTACATCCAGGAGATTTTACCATTCCTCTTTGATTCATCATCGTTCTCACTCTCTCAGCATCATCCCATTTATTTGTTTCTGCATAAGTACTTGCCAAAAGCACGTAATTTCCTGCGTCGTGCGGTTCTATTTCGAAGAGTTGCCTGGCTGCAATCTCGCTCAACTCAGCATTGCCATGAACCTTGCAAGCTCCTAACAAGGAACCCCAAATCTTTGCATCGGCGACACCGACATTGTCGATTATAAGATTGTATGCCTTTTCAAGCATCCCAGCCCTTCCAAGAAGATCAACCATGCAAGCATAGTGCTCCTTTAGTGGCTCAATGCCGAAAACCTGAGTCATGAGCTCAAAATACCGGCACCCCTTCTCAACCAGTCCGGCATGGCTACATGCGTTGAGGAGACCGACGAATGTAACCTCGTTCGGTCTAACTCTTTCCTTTTGCATCTTCGAGAAAAGATCCAACGCATCCTCGGCCTTTCCATGGTCAGCAAGGGCAGTGACCAACGCACTATAAGATATGACATCTCTCATGCTCATGCTGTTGAACTCTCTCCATGCCTGCTCTATGTTTCCGCATTTGGAATGCATATGGATCAATGCATTGGATACAAAGATTGTCTTCTCTGAAAGTGTTTGGTAAACAAGGGCACATCAGCACTACAGAATGTAAGCAATACAAAAGATAGCAAATCGTAGGCCTGGTCGGTGTTTAGATTGAATTGGACAACTCACTAGATTCAATGTATGTTGAACGTAGACTTCTCAATTTCGTCTAAGTTGAAGGTTGAACATGTCTTAGCTATGAAGGAAACTTATTCACTTCCCCATCCTACCATTTTTTCAGAGAATAAAACGAATACGTTGACACCCATTTCTTCCTCACCCTAGACAAAATTTGGAAGTTGATACCCTATTTCTTCTTTCAACATACATTGAATCTAATGAGTTAGCCAATCCAATCAAATCCTTGACACCAAACGATTTAAAGAATTGATTAAATTTGAACTTACCACAAAACCCTTCCTCCACATGCTTTGCCAATGTGGCTGCGATTTCAACATCCCTAAGTTGTGTACAAGCCGAAATAGCTCCCACCATTGCCACCTCACTGACTCTCACTTTTGCTTCCCTCATTTTCTTATACATCCCAATGGCTTCTGCTGCATAACCATTCTTAGCATAACAAGCCACCATTGCTGCCCAACACGACGCATCCGGCATCTGTATCTCGTCAAAAACCATCTCGGCCTCCACAACATTACCACGCTTCCCATATCCCGCTATCATAGCCACCCACGCCACTGAATTTTTATCCACCATTCGTTCGTACAATTCCTTTGCCCTTTCCATATCACCATTGTTAGCGTACCCAGCAACCATGGTAGCCCAAGAAACAGCATTGCGCTGCCCCATGTTATCAAACAACCACCGCGCTTCGCTCATCAGCCCCATCTTCGAATACCCACAAATCATGGCCGTCCAAGCAACCAAATCCTTATCTTCCATCGAATCAAAAACATCCCTCGCGTCACTTACAATGCCACATTTTGCATACATATGAAGAAGCGCAGTTTGCACTACCCCGTTTCCCAAGAAACCACACTGCAGAAGCCTCGCGTGGACTTGTTTGCCTTCGAAAGCCGCCTGGACACGACCACATGCATTGAGAACGGAAGAGAAGGTGAACCCAGATGGCGATACGTCAACCCGGTGCATTTGAGCATATAAAGCGATGGACTGACGAAGGCGATCGTGAAGCACATTGGAGTGGATGAGGGAGGTCCAGAGGAACGGAATTCTGCAGTTGGGTATTTCGTCGAACAGGTTGTGGGCATACCGGAGGTTGTCACCAGGAAGTTGCAGGAGCCGCTGGAGCAACTGAGCCAAGAGATGGTAACGGCGGTTGGGTTCAGTTGGGGCTTTGAGTAAGAGAGTGTGGCTTTGTTTTAGCTGCTTTACGGTATTGCTAACATAGAGGAATGAATTTCGAGAGGGAATGAATTTCGAAGTCATGCTGCTGATTGAACATTGTTGGTGGCATTCGATTGTCATCTGCCGAACCCCTTTGCTTATGTATTTAATCCAACGCAAACCATTTTTCATCGGTTGACATGAAAACGGTGGTATACAAATTGGTGCCTCTGTCATTATCCTACATGTTCGGTTCTTTTTCTCATTTTATAATTTCTCCGTTATAATTTGCACCTATCCGTTTTTAGAATGCTGCAAAAAATAATCAATTCTGACATCATTTTATTTATTTAAGAAATGTCCAACAAATATACGAACTATATTATTCATTAAGTGCTGAAACAATGTTAATCGAACAGTTAAATGACTTCTAGTTTAGTTGATTACTGCATAGTTGATCTTTAAATGGTGAACTAGATAGTATACGGTTTCAATCATCATGTAACATTGCAGGATGAGAAAGAGAACTAAGAAGGTAAAATGAGAAGGTCCAACTGAGAATGTGTTACAAAACGGTGGTCCTGTGTAATATCTTCCAATGACTTACTACACAAAACATAACCACATGTTATTAAGTGTTTACATCCTTCAAGGCTTCAAGGACTTAGTTCATGCGTATCGATCCACTTGTAGATGTCTTCCCACTTTTGTTCATCAAGTTGGAGGCTCTTTCTGCATCATTTACACACAACGTCAACATACATATCTATCAGAAAAAATGAACATAACATACCGCAGATTTAACTGCAAAAACTCTACCTACCTTTGGAGCTGAATTTTAGAGTAATCGATCTCAGCGATTACAATAGTTTCCTCATGCCCTGCGGTTGCAATTATCTCGCCCGACTGCCAATTACAGCACAAAACACACAAATGAAGAAAACAATCGTTTGTGTTTTTGTTCATTCATGCTCATCAATCATTTGCGTTATACAATATATAGTACCGGTTCAACTAGCATGGAGTGTCCCCATATTGTGTAAGGACCAGTGGAGTCTCGAGAAGGTGAACAAGTAGCTACGAATAACTAACACCGTGATTCCGAAGCCAAAGAGGGCAGGGGGAGGGGAAAGGTCATGTTAGAATTGGTTTTAGGCTGTAGAACAGTAGAAAAATGTACAGATACAAAGTCAAAAGCAACAGGACAAGTCAGTCTTTATACGTACCTGGTTATCAACTGCCCTGAAAAGAGGGAAGTATCGTTAGAACATAGGAAGTTTAGGAGGAAAATGGTGAGCAAGTAGGTAATAAGGTATATACTCTTACCTTGCTCTCTGTACGAGCTCCCAGAACAATTCACCAGTGCTCATGTTGAATGCCCCAGGATAGCATATGATATGAACGCCTTGCGTTTATACAGTAACGATCAATATTGTTATTCGAAATATACAGATGAGATATTCAAAACTAAGCAAGCATTTACAAAATCCTGTACCTTTTTTCCTGTACAATGCAGCAAGTTCAGGAAACCGTAAATCGTGACAGATTCCCACTCCGATACGACCAACTTCTGCAAATGTGCTACAATTGCTCAACAGTGGCTTAACTCATAGACAATCCGGATAAAATCTTGAAATAAAAAAATTGACATCACACATTTCCTCGAGGAAAGTTTAGGACAATTTCGGATGCATACCTGTGTCCACTATGGTAGTTTGATCTCCTGCCGAAAAGAAGTCAGATTCCTTAAATGATATCTCTCCTGGAACGTCAATGTCGAATAAATGTATCTGCAAATGAAGCAACACCAGCACCTTCTTTTCAAGAGTTCTATCCAATTTTACGCTCCTAATTCCGTGTCCAATGTTATCGAATTAACATGTTCTTACTTTCCTATACTTAGCCTTGAGCTTTCCATCTGGTCCAATTATGCAGCAAGTATTATACAACCGGCCATGATCCCGTTCAGGCACCGACCCTCCTACGATTGTGATCCCATGGCAATAAGCAGCCTCCGATAGCATGGACAATGTCGGCGAGGCATCCTCATTCGTAAAATCCTCAGCAAATTTTGCAAAGTCACTCACTTGAATAAGGGCAGTTCCACATTTCCTTTCACAAAAATGCAATTCAAACCAACATGTATTATGTCCTGAGGACTTCTCACAGACATTTATACAAACAACTTGGCTGCAACCACATGAGCAGTTACTTGGTAGTTAACTTACTGGTAAAACAAGTAGCTTTGCGCCTTGCTCGGCGGCAGTTTTAATCAAAACGCCGGCACGATCAAGATTCTGATTCTTGTCAGAAGTAACCGACAACTGACATAGAGCAACCTTAAACTGTTCCATAACAAAAACCGTTCTCAGTTATATCACACCTTTGTAATACCTATGTATAATCGCCAAAAGAACAATTTTTGTGAAAAGTATGCAGTTCTCTTTTTATATAATCGATATTCTACATTAAACTCATCTAAACTATGAGAACGGGAACTCGAACTCAGGTAGTTAGGTGCAGAGGGGAGAGCACAATATTTTAACCAACTTGATTAAGTTCAGATATTCGCAAGAATTCTACTAATTTTTTGGGACTCGAGAATTGATCAAGAACACAAAATAAGTGCAACATTTAACCACATTTCGAAAAGTGGAACATGAAGATTGGAAACTTCAGTGTTCAAATATTTATTGGGAATAATTGATACAATAACTTGTGCTGAAAACAAGACTACCTTTGGAATACTGGGGAGTTGAAATGGATCTGAGGCATCAGCCATGGCGGGATTACTGGTGTTCCAGAGAGATGCCATAACAAATCGGAGTTTTTTAGGTCTTGATTAAATTAGGAAGCAAAAGGGAACGCCTTTCCATATATTTGACTTGTTTATTGTCACCCCCATTGAAACTTTGTGCAACCAATTTTCTCTAACTTAATTAATTTTATAATGAAGAATAACCTCTACTATCATTAATTAATTTTATAATACCACTATCAACTTGAATTTGTAATTGTAGTGGTTAGTCCAATTAACTTCAATCCAACAAATAGAAACTATACTAATATTAGTTGATCATATTCTCTATTCCTTGCCTATATACAATTTTTCCCTTTGCTTGCAGACTTTTATTTTGGTTAATTTCTCATTTCCCTATATTAGATTGTCTATGAAATCAAGAAGAGAAAAATATTTCATTTTTCCAAATTCGCACAAAAAACCCTTCAAATGCTCTCATACCTTCATGTTTTTAGAAAAATGTTCTCTTGGTCACTATAAGAAAATGAATGCGTGGTCAGTCACCTTTGAATTTGATATCAAGAATGAAGAATAAATGGATGTGCTTTTACTAATGTTTTATTTTCAATTTTTGATATAGTTGACCATTTATAATGAAGAATAAATGCATGGTCACTCACTTTTAAATTTGATACCAAGGTGACCAAAAGAACGAGATAGTTTCTGCATATATTATGTTCATTTTAGTTTAAAGCGTGCCCCTCCTAACATGAATTTCTGGCTCTGCCACTGCTCACATTCTCGTCCATACTGTTTTTCTCTCATTTTAGGGAAAATAGAAGAAAACAAAGAGGAGGTTTGAAGATTCTCTTTTTTATTTAAACAAATTGAAGATTCTCTTTTAATTTAAATATTTGTTCACCAAAAAGAAGATTTCTTTTTCTTTTTAAAAAAAAAAAAAAAAAATTTCTTGCCAAGAGTTAACCTACAAAACAGTAGGTGGAGAAGCATCATAGTAAACCTCAATCTGTCACATTCACACCACCCTTGATACTAAGCCGGCATAGACAACATATAGACCAATTAAGTTCTTCCTATCATTACTATATGTCTTTGTTCTTATCGGATCATATTATTTAATAATTCAACATCCTTGCACACTTTTGGATTACTTATATTCTTTGTGAATCTTTAAAGCAGGGCCCCCTAATTAAGATTCCCAAAAACTTGTAATATTCCAGTATCAACAATAAACTAAACCTAACCTAAACCTAAACCCATGTTAGTCGTATCAGGCATCGTGGTATTTGGTGTGCTCGTCATTTCAGTCGTAATCGGATGGTATGTATATCGTATGCGAATACCATTGTCTCCTCCGACTAGCAACGAGCGTGTCCAGAAGATCGAATGCACGGTTGATAAGAGGTTGAAGCCGGATTTAATCACATTCAGTTATAAGAAAGAGAGTGATGATGGTGATCCTGATCAAAACGAAGATGATGAAGAAGCTTTATATCGTAAAACTAGTACTACCATCGAATGTGTAGTGTGCTTGAGAGGTTTGGAAGATGAGGAAACTGTGAGGCGGCTACCAAAATGCAAGCACATCTTCCACGCACCTTGTATTGACATGTGGCTTGATTCTCATTCCGGCTGCCCTATCTGCCGTACTCTGATTGACCGACTGCGTTCTGGCAATAACCAGCTGTCATTTACACCTCACGAGGATCAAGAGAATTCCATGGAAGTCACGCCCACAGAAGTAGATAATATCAGAACCTCAATGTTATCTATCCCAATCGTGTAAGATCATATAATGTCCTCTGTTGTCTTCTTTGTCTAATTTCTCTCTTTTATAAATCTTGTTGGTGGCAAGACAAAAGCCCCTGCGAGAGTTGTTCGGTTGAATGTTTCCTAAGTGCCACTGGAGGCCACAGAGAGGCCAAGGCTCCTCAGATGAGTTGTATGTGTTATAGGAATGCCACTGCTGGCAGTTAGTTATTAGTATTATAAACTTACACCGCAAGTAAAAGGACTTCTAATCGAGGGATAATGTCATGATCAGTGGGGTTCTGGCTCGTTCTTGATCATTTTATGTGCTTGCTTGTTAAGGACTTCTAATATTTTCTTCGTGTATTAGATGACAACCATAAACTGATTAGAACTTTAATTATCTTATTTAGTTTACAGTTCTTGTACAAGCTTTGGTTTTTTGAAATAAACGTTAAACTTGCAAGAGGATAAACAATTGAAAGAGAATAACAGGCATTTTGATAACGCAACTACTCCGACTATGACTTCCTATTTAATTAGCAAGAGGAAATACAGAAGACAAGAAAAGTTGGTGACAATAGGTGTTCAGTACAAAAACAATGCATATTACAATGTACGCAAAGGACAGAGTTCAGAATTTAAATAGGGGTGAGCTAATTTATCTTACTTCTAGTATGTAGTAAAATTTAGGTGTTAAGGGTAGGATAAGTTTCTGTTTTGTGCAATATTAGACTCAATTTTTCCATAACGTGCTTATTTTAACACAAATT